TTTTTTTTTTTTTTTTGGTCATTTAGACAAAAGACAACTATCATTCATTTTCTTTTTCTCATTCCGCGATCCAAACATTATTAGAGCATCTCCAATGGAGCTGCTATTCGACTTGTCAAAGCTAAAATTTGACAAGAATGACAAAAAGAGGGTTTCCAATTGCATGCTATTCTATTTGCCAAAGATAGCAGATGCCATTTCTGTTCTCAAATTTGGCAGGCTGAATAGCAGCTGCCAAACTTGCCAGATCAGCAAATCTCAACAGATTTTTGGCACCAAATGCAGTTGAAGAAACAAATTTGAAACAATATAAAACCCAAAAAATTCAGAATCAAACTCAAATATCAGAATCAAACCCAATTTACAATTTTTTTTGCCAAATTCACAAATTTCAGAATAAATTTGACAAACCCAAATTCAGTTTCTCTTAAAAAATTTTTTTTTAATCATTTATCACCAAATCAGTCAATCAAAATAGAGTGTAAAAATTAGATGGATATTATCACAATAAACCAAACCAAAATAGGCTTGAGTTGTTTGAAAATCAAAATAAATATCAAATTAAAATCAATGGATGAACAAAAATAGGATGAACAAAAATTAAACAAAAAATCAAAATAAATAATTACGAAAAATCGGGGAGTACAGACCTGAGTTCTTTGAAGAAATGGAGATGATTGAGTTTTTTGAAGATCTGGTTTGACGCCATCGCGAGACTTGAGTTTGAAAAATTGCGATCACCTCCACATCAACAACCAGAAAATAAACAAAAAATCAAAGCATATATATATGAGTATGTATATAGATGGAAATCGTACCAGAGACAGAGGGAGAGAGAGGAAATGGGGGGCGAAATGAGAGAGAGAGAGAGAGAGAGAGAGAGATCAGTTTGAGGAGAGAGAAGACAGTGAGAGGGAGAGAGAAGACAATGCGAGAGTGAGAGTGAGAGTGAGAGATTGGTTTGGAAGAGGGAAGACAGTGCGAGAGTGAGAGAGAGAGAGAGAGATCGGTTTGAGAGAAAAGACAGAGTGAGAGGGAGAGGGAAGACAGTGCGAGAGTGAGAGATTGGTTCGAGAGGGAAGACAGAGTGATGAGAGGGAGAGAAAAGATAGTGTGAAAGTGAGAGGGAGAGGGAAAGGGTTGGATGATTCTAGAGAATCATCTCAACCATTGAACATATAGACGTGGACGGTTGTGATCTCCCCTCTGCACTTAAAACGGCCGTTGTGCTCTGTTTGTTTTTTTTTTTTTTAAAAATAAATAAATAAATAAATAATTTTTTGTGACAACAGCTATCTTCAAATAATTTTTTGTGTATTTTCTACAAAAGAATGTAATATTATTTTTGCAATGTATAATGTTGACTATTTTTTAGTATAATTTAATTTTTTTCAATAAAGTATAATGAAAAAATAAATATATTTTTTCAAATGAAGGAAATGAAAAGATAAAATACATTAACTGACATTAAATGAAGATATTTTTATTATAATAAAAAGACATTAATGACATTAAAAAAATTGGTGATTGTTTATTTTTTATGTGTAGTTAAAAAAATTTATTAAATATGTAATGATATGTTTTTGGTAGGGTGAATTATATTTAATTTTTTTTTCCAATTTTTCAATTTTTTTCATTTTTTATATTTGTCTAGTTGGAAATAATATAAATATATA